AAAAATCAAATATACTTATTTATTCAAAATCATAATATTTTAAATGATCGAATAATTTATGATAAATCATAAATGGAAAATATAATTAACTAATATTAATGTAACATTACTTTATTATATATTAATCATATAATTAAGTTAGCCTTTTATTTTAATTGCATAACTCCGTTCACCACCGTTAAAAAACTAAAAAGAGGGTACATATATAGACCAGACAGAAAATAAATTTCATTTTGTTTTAAATAATAATAATTAATCTGTTTTGTGGGACTGTGTGGAAATAGAACAAAAGTTAGCCTTTATTTAGTACAATTTTTTAAAAAATATATTTTGTGAACGTAATTTTTTTTTTTTTTTTTTAAGAATGTTTGGTTCAAAAGTAGGAAAAGATATGTGTCCACTTACAAAATTATTTCGTTAGGGAAATGTGTTGTTAAAAATATATTTTTATTATTCACTTAAAAAATTACACAAATTTTAATGACTAGTATAAAATTCTGATCTTTCTTTATGCATTTGTAGGATACTATGTATCACATCTTATACTATAATAAGGTGTTTTATACATTATGAAGAATTGGACAACTCATAAATTTTTATTAATTTTTCCGAGCTCATCTTTCTTACCAAACATGTTACAAGGGGTTTCTTTTAGATACATATGCAACATTTCAATTATAAGCTGAAACTAACAAAATAAGTTAAAACAAAATATAATCTAGTTCAAATATAAGATCCCTTTGAAGAAATTAAAAAATAAGATTCAAATGACTTGGTACACATGCAGACAAATATTATATGCATCAAAGGGAATAGAATTTCTTCCAAAGATTTTGTTGAATATAGAATGCTAGTTTCATAATTTGCAAACCTACTGCCCTAAGATATAAGAGATACTAATTTTTATTGCTCTCAATTTTTAAATTAAACTTGTTGATAAATGAGTGCTTGCTGATAATGACATTGTTACAACTTAAAACAATTATTAAGTTAGGTCGGAGTTCAATGAGGATGCGATTTGGTATATCTAGTTCGAGACATGATTAAGAGGGTATTTTTAGCTTAAATAAGTTGCTATATTGCGACGAATTATACTTGTCTTCGCAATTTTGAAGTCACACGACCAACAAATTTTGCGATTGGAGATTTTAGTACTCTCTCTCTCTCTCCCCCCTCTCTATGGGTGTGTGTGTAATATTTAGACTTTGTGGGTGTGAATATACGATCAAAAACACGACCGATGAGATTGGGATACTATGACTATAATATAATAATTGATTATTAAATACAAATAGTAAATATGGATTAGGCCCATAAAAAAAAATATTATCACTGGAGAGAGCAGTTCTCCTCTGGAAATTTGATGTTAATGAATCATATCTCCTATGTGTATATTCAATTGATTCAGTATTTTTATTTTTATTTTATGAATATAGTATATATTTAAAAACATCGGCTAGAAAAACCACTTGGTGTCGTGGTGTAGTTGGTTATCACGTCAGTCTAACACACTGAAGGTCTCCGGTTCGAGCCCGGGCGACGCCATTTTCTTTTGTAATGTTGCCTTTTCCTTTTCCCACGCCACATGGCGTAATACGACGTCGTTACTTCCCAAAAAGTAACCCTGTAATTATGGTTTCATGAAACTGAACATGTCGGCGTATCTTCACCCAGGCTCATTGGGCCATTTCCATCCACGTCTTCATCCCACACCACATAACTGAACATGTCGGCATAGCTTCACCCATTCTCATTGGTCCATTTCCATCCACGTCATCATCCCCACCACCATTTCCAGAATCATCTACAACATTCTTTCCCTCTCATTTTCCCAATATCTCTAGCTAAAGCAGCAGATGGAGCACAATCAATCAAATAAACGAACCCTTAGTTTTACGTTCAAAGATTTCTTTTTTCTGTTTTTATAATAATGGCTTTGAGGTTATTAAAGCTGAATATTTTTGCAGCGTTTTGTTTGGTCGTGATTGCGTTTCAATTTTCATTATCCATCGCTTTGGTTGCTTCGCAAGGCATCAATCCCCCCTACCCTAAAGCGATATCTGTAAGCATTCCAATTTCTCAATTTAGCTAAAGAAATCCCATTTTTCTGCAGTTTTGGCCCTAATAGAATGGTTTTTTTTTTTTAAACTGCGAAATTTTATTTGGTATTGCTTATTTTGATGTTAATTCTAGGATTTGAAGGAAGCAGTTGTGAAGGGATTAGGTTTCCAAGCTGATGAGTTTAAGATATCGGGGTTTGATTTGAGGGATGCCTTAGTGGGAAGGTCGGTGGCATATGAATTTGATGTTGAGGTCGATAATAAAGTTTTGCCCTTTAAGCTTTTGGAGGACGTTAACCGATGGGAGTATGTGGACTTGCCCATTTTTCGCGTAGAGGATTCAGGTAATGGGCTGGTGGAGAGACAGCGATTGGAGGATCAGATGCCTGTTTTGGCTCCGTTCCAGTTGGCTGGTCCAATGGAGCTATGGATCCAGGATGCCAAAGATATGAGAATTTCATTGCCGGTGAGTTCAACTTGCACGATTTCTGGTTTAATGTTGAATTCTAGTGTGCATTTTATATGTTTTATGATTCTGCCTCGTGCATACTTCTTGGAAGAGTGTGTGGAGTTTATATTTGTTTTATTTTATATGAAAGTTATATGATAATGGAAAGTTGGGTTTGTTACGTCAATTCTGTTTACAAAAAGAGGGAGAATATTTAATCTGCATTCTGCAGGACAAGGTAAATTTTAAATTATTATGGTTCTCTTTTGTTGAAAAAGAGCACTCATCAGTAGACAACTCTAGTTTAATATTTGTGTCAAGTAAAGAAGTCATAGATTTCACTGGAAAATAGGAATTTTTGGCATTCTTAGCTATTCAAACTTGTTTTTGGTTCATTTGGATTAGCAGTTTTAGTTACTGCTATTTATCGTGGGGAAAGCTTTTTTCTGGACTTTTTGTTCTTTGGATCACGTTAAAGGCTGAATGAGAAATGAGTTCACTTGTTTACAAGTCTCAATTCGTTTATCTTTATCATTATTATTATTATTATTATTATTATTATTATTATTATTATTATTTTGCAGCATGTTTTTCATCATTTATGTTTAACAATGGTTCTAATTATAGTTATAAGATGGTTTTTGGAATATTTCATTTCTTTACTTGAACAATCCAACTTTGTTTAGAATAAAGCTTACATTGTTATTGTTGTTGTAGGGAGAGGGCTTGACTCTTGAGCCTTCGAATGCCACTTAGTTATGGTTACTAATCTGTACATGTGAATTTTAGTTATCCGCTTCTCTTCTTTGCTAATAGAATTTGCTGTTTCTAATGATATGTAGCATGATGTGGATGCTGGCGTGCTGAAGAAAGTGATCTTAGCAGATGGTGCTGTGGTCACTGTTAAGGGTGCCAGATCAGTCAGCTTGCGTCATCCAGTCGAGCTTCCACTTCCACTAAATCGAACTAATAATAACTTTGCATCTGGTCTTCTAACGCTAGCAGAGCGTCTTCAACATGCTTCCCGTTCCCAAGGTGGTCCCCTCCTTTCACTTCGCATTGTCGGTCCATCATCGCTAACATCTCCTACATCCTCATCTACTTCTTCCAGTAACAAGCTTAAGCTGAAGCGCCTTGCACCTGGCCTTGTGGAGCTATCATCAGCATCAAAAAGGAAATCTGTGCAAGCTGATGCTTTATCCACCATTGGTCTCCAAGGAGAAGCCACTTCCCTTCTCACACCTGATCGGTTCACCACAATGTGGCCTCTTATATCCATCGATGGATCGAACCCTAACTTGCTTGGTTTTGAGGCATTGCTATCTTCTGTACTGGGTCCCAAAGCAAACACAGAGGGTTCGTTCAAGCTGTTGAAGGCAGATGTGTCAGCACAGACTTTTATGAAGATAGGTTTTGGAGTCGAGAAGAAGCTGAGTAAGGGAGATGGATTTGATTGGGAGGGCTTTCCTGAGTGGAGGACAAAGCCTGAGACTGTGAGAATGCATTTTGAAGTGTTGGCTAAGGTAGATGGTGACAAGGTTGTGCCAGAGAGAGTGGTACAGGTCAATCCCGTGATTGCAGAGGATACTGTGGCACCAAGTGAGCTCTTGGGAAACACGACCATGTCAAAGACTCCGATTCTTAACCCACCTTCAAATCCATTCACTCTATGAGTTCGTGTTAAAAGTACTCATTCTTGGTGAATTTGAGGGAAAATGTGGTGTCTCTTATTTTTCTTTTGACCGTTTTTATAGGCATCTAGCATGTTCTCAAATACTGAGATACATCAGTGTAATGACATGCAATAAAGACAATGTACTCGGTCTCACTTGTACTTCCTGGGGGCAGTTTTTGAGCCATTTCCTCTTCCTTTTTTTTTTTATCACAGAACTTTAATATATTACATTACATGGTGGGAAAACTTGAATGATGAGACGAGAAAACTGTCTACGTGGAAACATATATTGGCTTTTGAGTTGCATACAATGTTAATTTCATTGCTGTAAACATGTAAGAGCATATGAAAGTACATAACATTGTGAATTAACTGTTGAACCATCTCTTTTGCTTTATTGAAAGAAAAATGGTCTCCATTAAGTGCATATTTGATTAATGTGTTATGGATTGCTGTTTTACCTCTATGAATGTTTCCAGTGGCATACATGGGAGAAAGCCAGTTTCAACATGAATGGTGTGTTGCATGGTAAGCTGTAGGCGGGGGCGGAGTGATGGAGGGCAGGTCTGGTTCCTAGGCTCAATTTGTTTTCAAAAAGGAATTTTTTTTTTTAATGAAAATCCCTTTTTCTTAATGGAAATTTTTATTCTTCAATGTATCAGTCCAATATTTTTTCCTTCCAAACTGTAGGACATTTATCAGAAGTGAGGATGTGAAAATTATTTACACGTTTTTACATGTATTACAAGTTTTAATACTTTGTCTATTTTCAATAATAAAATTTATCAAGAGTGAGGACACTCATTATTAGGTACGGTTGGACACAATCGAACCTGATGATCTGTAACTCTCCTCGACCGCAAATAATATTGCATTCCATATGCCAGATTGCCCTAATATTCCTACTTTTAACACAATTCTTAGGGGGCCATTTTGGCGTGAGAGGTTTGAGAAGAATCTTGTACTCTTCTTCTTTCTTCTTCTTCATTAGTAGGACCTTTCGCTCACATCGAGTGTACAACACTCTGAATCTCTGTGTTGGCTTTACTTGTTAAGATTTTGTCTCGTGTTCTGTCATAGGTAGAGACTGTGGCATAATACACGACAAATTACATTAATGTTTGCCAAGAAAACCTCTTTAACTTAAAACCCCAAACTGAGAGTCATTTTAATCTTAGAAAAAGACGGAAACTTGGAACATTTTCACGTGTTTGTCCTTATAGCTAGTGCTAATTAGCTACTTCAAGAAAATGGGTAGTATTAGATAAGACTCGACATAACAATGGACAAGGTTCTAGTTTTTTTTTCTCTTTTAGTATTGTTTCATATTGTCCAATTTATCTTATCAAACATGCCAAGTGGCTCTTTGCTGATCATGAGTTGAATGACTCTCCCCGGTGCCAGTATCCCTTTGACCAATATCAGCTCTGATACCGATACGGGACCCATGTCATAATGATGAATACCGAGATTAGTGGATTATTTACATTTAACATTGCAAGGGGTTGCCCAATGCCTCCAGCAGCGCCCAATATGGCAACTTCAAATCCAGGCGCCCCCTCCTTTCGCCCTGCAATCAGCTAGCTTCAGAGTCAAAACACTCTCGAACATTAGACTTCATACATTTCGAGTAAAAGCTTCTAGGAACAAGGGAACCAAATTTGCAAATGGCTGCATTATTGCAATGCTTTGATTTACTTCTGCAAATGGCTGCATCTATTGAGTTGGGTTGGTTTGTTAATTTCCATTAAATTTGTTACATGGTTTGCTGTATAAAAGTAGAGGCAATGGCCAATGCTTAGACACTTAGTAGAGAATATAGGGTATGGATAAACTTGACTCCAAAAACTGGTTAAAAAGTTAAAATGAAATCAAATGCCATCTCCATTTTCTTATGCCAGGTAGAATTCGAGTTTGGGAAAAGCAAAGAACAAATGCTAAGAATTGCAATTCACTTCACAGCAAGAATTCCAGTATTAACACCCTTCATAAGACTGGTGGTGCAAAAGTTGGAAGAGGTCGAGGGTTGAAAATTAACTCAAAGACACGATGAATCAAATTGCTGCCTATGTTACGGTCTCAAAAATACATTAGCATCATTTTGTTACAACTTGTTATACACCTCAGCAAGAAATTTTTGAGAAAATAAATCATCTAAAATGGAAAATGCACGAACAAGAAGAAGAAGAAGAAACACATGAAAATTCAATAAATAATTGAACAAAAAGACAAGGCCACTTGTGAAGAGAATCAATTATACAAGATTGTTCCCACTGCAACTCCTTGGTACATGGGTGCTATAAGGTTGGTTCCTTTCCAATGGTTACATGCCTTCTTACATTGCATCTCAAGTTTCCTCTCTTTTCTTGGTGTGGAAATCCGACATGTTTCACTTCCATTTTTTGTCCAGGAATCAAGTAAGGCATTTCCTTCCTTGTTGAATCAAACCTGTAAAATTGAGCTGCTAAGTTAAACTGAAAGAACATTCTTAATAGTGAAGGATATACAGAATTCATACTTACCCCTGAGGCCGAATAGAGTGTTGCTGCAGAGTGGATCTCATTTTCCTGAACTTCTCTAACCTTTGAATCGCATTACTTTGCAGAGGGGATGTGGTAGGTGTTGACTCCTGGTGTCTTGGATCACGAGACCTTTGAGGCGTTGCAGTGGATGCTGTTTCCACTCTCTCTTGCCCTTGTAAAAGCTCTTGAACAACTATCATCTTGCTCTCTTTCTGCTAAAGCAATAGTTCGTAAATGTTTTCAATGAACCCATAATATAAACTTTTTCTGTTAAGAAATAAATTTCCTCTATGCTCAGTAGTTGGTGAATTTTTTATATAAAGCTCATAATGTAAACTTTTCCTATTTAAGAAAGAAATTTCCTCTAGGCTCAAATTGTACACTCGAAAAAATTACTCACTTGAATATTGTTTACTTCCTTTATCTGCTGATTTCCAGCTGAAAGTGTTGAAACTGCACTTGCACTCTGATGAGATTGAAAATTCATTTTCCTCTCAAAGTTAGCTTCCTCCTTGTGCATCCTTCTTTCCTGTAAACAAGAACTTCATATCACTAAATGAATAAGAGTGGTTAGTTATTATTTAGTGTGTGGTAGAAATATTTACATCAGTTCTTAGCCTAAAAGGTTTTGGGGTTGTTGGCTTTGGTTTCTGGAACTTCAACACAGGGGCAACATTATCCTGCTGCAAATTTTCCCGTGCTTGAGAAACCTATGTTAACATTTAAGATTTAGTTATAAACAACTGAAACAGAATACCTAGTGCAGAGGAAATCCCAAATGGAAGATGATATATGATAAGCAATATAAAAAGGAACCTTTTTAATTTTTCCAGATGTGTACTGCATGCCAAGGATTTTTTTCCCATTCTGCTTCTGACTATGATTGTCACCTCTGTGAGCAAATTTGTCACTCTAAGTACCAACAAATATCAGATTGAAGAAATAACTTTGAAGAATGCACACCCAAAAAGCACATAGAGGTCTCAAACCTGTTCTCATCAAAGCCCACGGCGTTTTCTTTGTCATCACTGTCCATTGGTTCGTTCTCTTGCGTAGAAGGATTGTACTCGGCCCCAACTGGGACGAAGTCTTTACAGTTTCCACTATTTTTTGAACCCAATTTCAGTTTATCATTCAGTTCATTGGCATTACTGGTATCATTCTCCTGTCTGTTTGGTTCTTCAGAAATCGGGTTAGTACTTCCTTCTAATCTCCTCTCTTCTTCATTGGGCGAACAGTTTGCTTCCCTTCTTGAAGCATCTTCGAAATTACACATTCTGATTTTTGAAATAGCTTCAGCTCCCAATTTTACATCAATATCCAAATCACCAGGGCCATTTCCCCCCAATTTTTTCGAGACACATTGTTGTCTTGACAATTTTCCTTTGCTCTTACTTTCCACAGATCTTACAGACTTGGTATCCTGCCTGATACAAGCTTGAGAACGTAATTGTTCCCCAGCCGTTCTTTGAACCTTGCTCCCCTTCAACAGTCTTCTTGAACAACTATAATTGTTATCCAAATTCTTCACAGATTTGCTGGAATACCCTAAGAAATGTTTCTTCTGACTAGTGATTTCAAGCCTTTTCATTCCTTCACGTAATTTTGTTATGGGTGTACGCAATTCCATAGAAGTCTTTACCTTGACGGCTTTCTTGGGAGAGTGAAACACCAGAGTCTTTGCAACCGAGCGGCTTTTTGAGATTTCAATAGTGGTTGGTTTCTGATTCTGAACACTACGAAAAGAATTAGAATTTGGGAGGCATTTTTTGTTCCTAGGAGTTGTAAGATACCTGGCAGCAACTGGCTTCGTCTTGTTCCTTGGAGTGGACTCAGGCTTCAGAAGAGGCCTAACAACTTTTGATTTGTCATTAACCATCTTTTGAGGAATTGATGAAACCACTGCTAATCTTGATGATAATCTAGACTTTGAAGATTTTGGAGGAGCTGAACGCGGACATTTTATAGGGGTTCTGAAAAAAATACTCAATTTGTCATTATCAAGATAGAATAAGTCACCATTAAATGCAAAAATTTACCATGACTTTATGATCTATATTACCTCGAAGCATTTCCATTGAGTAGTGTTCTTCGAAGTTTTACATTGGGGCTCCTTGCTGCCATTACCTGTATGAATAAATCAGTCAAGTAAAAGATTTGGATTATTTCCAGAGCTACCAATTTAGCAAAGGAATCACGAATGAGGGTTAACCCGAAGAACAAAGTTCGAGTAGATTGCTTCGGAATCCATTTCCTCCTCGTGCTTTTGATCACATCCTGGAGCAATATTAACAAAGAGGAAGCCTTAATTTTGTAACAATTTTTTTTTTAATTTTATTCAATCTCATAATAATTGAAGAAAAAGAAGGATAACAAATTAAAACCAAACGAAGCCAAAAATAAAGAAAATATACGACTATAATCCCACGTCTTATTCATATATCTAGGAGAATACAAAACTAAAATCATACTACAAAAACATTGGAAATAAATAAGTAAACACATGAATTTAACACTGACCAACACGAAGGCAGAACCAGTAGCGATCATCTGGGCAGTAATGATCAGGGGCAGTGAAATCAACGAACTTTGGGGCTTCGATTTTCTCGTAAAATTGCTCGTCTTCCCCACCTTCATCTTCAATGCTAATGGCGACACTCAAAGCTCCATTTTCCGACGAAAATGAGTTAGATTGTTCCTGATATTCTTCCATTTTATTAATTAATTTCTTTAATTATTCTTTCGAATTTATGTTGGAAAAATGGGGGTGTAAATGGGACGCTGAGAAGAGCGACAGATAGAATAGAGAGTGCTTTTTAAAAGTAGGAACCTGTCTGTAACTAGCCGTTACAATCCCCACGAATTATGGTAAATACGAACCAAAGCCCGGGGTAATTTGGTATTAACCAATTTGGACTTATTGGGTTGTAATTAATGGGCTTCAAGGCCTATTAACAGTCTGACTTCATTACCGACGTAACGTCAAATCAGATGCGTCGGCAAAAATAATTCCTACTTGTTATTCCAAACAAAACTTGACTATAATAGTACTTGAATCAGAATAGACAAATAAACAATAACAAATGTTCACCATTTACCGTAAGGTCACGTCAGATGGGGTGGGCAAAATAACTCCTACCCACCAAGAGCGGAAGATCAATTCTAAAACTTCTTTAAATTGTACTTGAATCAAAATAGACAAATAAATAATAACGATATATTTGAGTACGGTTAGAGATGAAATATTTACATCATTAGATGATATGGCTACATTCAAGTGGCGAACTCTAATGAAAAAGGGAAACTTTAGAAAGTGTGTATAATTTCAAATAGTACTTGTAAAAATTTATCTTTAATTTTTCAATTATCGTCGAATAGAAGTCGAATGAACTTTTAATTAGGAGAGCATTCACCAGTGATTTAGTAACACCGTTGCGACATCTTCAATAGTATCCTGGAATTTATAAATTTCGTTTCAATATTCAATACAAGTTCACCCTTGACGATTTTTAGTTCTCATAGTTACAAAGTTATTCTGTAACAATTAATTGATCGATAACAACATTTCTAAGAGTCTTTTATTTTTGAGAGGCAATTCTTATTTATTAGTCCAACAAATTGTTTATCTTTAAAATTTAACGTAAAAGTGTTATTTGACAACTATTAACTCTTTACTTCAAGAATTTTCAATATATTCTTTAAAATAAAGAGCATTGTTAGAGATACTTTATATAGCCAAAAATAAATTACCATGAAGATGATTAAAGATGGTAACTTAGTCATAGTGAACAGTGATTCCTATAGAATAATGCCATCTATCTAGACTCATGATTGTCACGAGTCTATGTTGTATTTATGTTACATACATAGATATGTCATCTTGATAGTGGCGTATGGATTCAATTAAAGATTGCATATGAATAAATGTTACTTAAATGCCTCATAAACACACGATTGTCACGAGTCTAAATAAATTGCATTACTCAGAGATGATCACGGAGAAACTGTTTATTCAACTCTTGCAAGCCGTTGATGCTTCCGAGATGAAGCCTATTGTACCACTTTATTGCGGGGCATCTTGCCTTAAGTTCATATTGGTCTTGTAGAGGTCAAGATGCTCTTTGGGTTCGCTTCTATCATGGTAAGACACGATCTTGAGTATATTGAAGTTTGGGGGAGGGGCTCGGTGTTAGTTGCCATGGAGAAGGGAGAGTCAACGTATCATCGTCTCTCATGGCTGCATCGCTGGAGCGAGTTTAGATCTTTTTCTAGGTGCTTAGTTCTATTGCCTATCTCCAGGCATCTCGTCACCTTGGAGCATTTTGTTGGCGTGGTGATGGGATGTATCTTCATTGCCTTGTAAATAAAAAATAGCAACCTTTTTAAGTGTATTGTGGGTCTTTATGTAACTTTTTTTTTTTTTTAGTTAGTAGCTGCGCAGCCTATCACGCAGGTAGAGGCGTAAAATATATATTTTTAAATATCTAGCAATAAATCTTATGAACAAACTATAAGTATGGAATTATGTTTATTTTGGGTTAGGCACACATGATTAAGGACTTTGAAATTTGGGAGTAATTTGGAAAAAAATCAAAATGAAGAATAATGACGTGAAATTAAAGTGAAATGAAACAGGTGATACGATTGAGACACTCTCCTACTTAATAAAAGTAGTTGAAATTTATGTAAAGAACGATAATTGAGACTTATCTTTATAACTAGTATTGGCTGTTATTTTTAAGGTCGTGTTAGCGTTGAATATGTATTTTTAATGAGTTAAAAAGAAAACAAAATTTTGTGTACAACTTTTATCAAGAAAACACAATTGAATTTCATAATTATCGTTAAAATATTATATTATTGACTAAATGTATTAAAAACAATTGTACATACAAAATTTTTTAGCATGTTACAATAAATAATAATATGAATATAACTGTCTTATGTATTTATTAAACAAATGTAGATTTCAAAGCTAAATAAAATGCAAGATGTAACAAGATAAATTGAAAAAGTTTTTTTTTTTTTTTTTTTAAAGTATGACAATGTTATTTGTTTATACATAGAAATAGGTTGTAGAGTTTAGAGTTATTGAGGATAAAAAATTTAACATTATATTTTGGTAATGTTAAATTAGGTACATGTATAGTGAATTGCATGGAAATTGTTTTGTAGACATCGTTCGTTTAATTTTCAAGGTAATATTTTTTTGAGGAGAGAAATGAAATGTGTAAGACGATGAAATAATTTAAACTATTACATGTTTAATTAAGGAGGAAATGTAAATACAAGATGGAGTAAATAATGAGTAATTGAACACTATTTAATACTCCGCGCATTCATTCCACGCTGTGCGGAGTTTGCACACAGTCTTTTTCCACGCTGCGCGGAGTGCGGACACCAGTGTCTGCGATGTCCGCATGCAGACACTGGTGTCCACGCTGTGCGGACATTGTGTATTATTAATATACATTATGTTTTTTGAATGATTTGTGTAGAAAATACATATTCCTTTCGGAAATCAGGTCGATCCCTGTCGGGGGCGTTGTCCTCAGCCTCCACGAGGGGCGCTGCCCCTTCGACCCCCGCGACCTGATCGGGTAGGTTGATCCCCATTTCGAAGCGATAAACTATTTACATAACAACAATAAACAAATAAATAAATTATGAAAAAATATATTATCTTCAAACTAGTGGTTTTTTGCTGAAATTGAAGTTTTCTCAACAATGTGATATTCCGATGGCCCCGGTAAAACTTTAGCAATGAAACTTAACAAAGTTTTATTCCAAAACAAAAATCATATAACATATCAAAATCTATATGTGATGTAAAACGAAAGACTGTTAAGGAACAATTGGAAGAAAAATTTGAATGGAGACATGCATATATAAATAAACATAGGAAGGAAAATCGTGTCCGCATAGATTTTTTTTTTTTTT